ACTCCCCTGATAGGGGTTGATGGGGCGCTAGCCGGGAGGATGGGCTGTGGGAGGTTGGCTGTGGGAGCCCACTGACCACCAGGGGGCAGCTCCTGCACTGAGCATCTGCTCCCTGTTAGTCAATGTGCATCATAGCGACTGGTCAACTGGTCATTCAGGTTGTTGTTTGGTTGTAATGGTCACTTAGGCATATATATATATATATATATAAATAATTATTGACTATATTCCTTATGCCGAACTTTATATCCTTGTGACTATTTTGTAACTACCAATCTATACTTCTCAATTGCTTCTCCCAACCCCTCCTCCCTTTAATGCTACCATTTTATTTTTTTTTATTTTTATTTTTTAAAAAATATATGTTATTGATTTTTTACAGAGAGGAAGGGAGAGAGATAGAGAGTTAGAAACATCGATGAGAGAGAAACATCGATCAGCTGCCTCCTGCACACCTCCTACTGGGGATGTGCCCACAACCCAGGTACATGCCCCTGACCGGAATCGAACCTGGGACCTTTCAGTCTGCAGGCTGACGCTCTATCCACTGAGCCAAACCGGTTTCGGCCATTACCATTTTATTTTATTTTACTAGAGGCCCGATGCACAAAATTCATGCAAGGGGTTCAGCCCTCGCAGCACCGGCTTCATCTGGAAGGTCGTCCGAATGGTTGTTCCTCTGTTCGGCCGTCTGGTCTAATTAGCATATGCTTTTATTATTATTTTTAAAAAATATAGTTTTTATTGATTTCAGATAGGAAGGGAGAGTGAAAGATAGAAACATCAATGATGAGAATCATTGATCAGCTGCCTCCTGCACGCCCCCCACTGGAGATCAAGTCCACAACCCAGGCATGTGCCCTTGACTGGAATTAAACCGGGGCCCTTCAGTCTGCAGGCCGACACTCTATCCACTGAGCAAACCCAGCTAGGGCTAATGTTACCATCTTAAAGATGAGGAAACTCAGGCTCAGCGAGGTTAAGTAACTTGCTCCAGGTCCCAGAGCTAGTAAGTCAGAGAGGAGGGATTTGAACCCAGGACTGTCTGACTTGTGAGCCCATCTCCCTTCCTCTATCTGCATGCCTGCCCTACCTTCCGGCATAACTGTTTCTGCCTGCCTGACATGGCTGCTCTCGGCTCCCTGTGCTTCTGAGCTGGGGAGGGCTGGGACCTGGGCACTGACCTTGGGGTTTGCCAAGGCCTCAGGTCACCATCAATCAATGAGGTGGCTTTTCCAGCGCAGGGTGGATGCGGATGGCAGGTCATCTCAATCCTTCTGCCTGGGCTCCGCCGAGCCAGGCTAAGCACATCAGCAGGGCTGGCGCCGGGGGGGAGCTCAGGGGTGACCTGTCGCCAAGGAACCAGGCCCGTCTGGGTTTAAAACGGTGTGGATTCTTTTGATAGCAGCCAGGGCAGCAGCCACAGAAAATCCTGGCTGTGGTCCTATCGATTTAGCCATTGGTTTCAGGGAGACAAATCCCATTTAAAAAGGAGGATCAATGAGGTTAAACAGAAGAATATTTGCCGACTGGATTAGGAAAGCCCCGTGGGCTAAAACTTTCTTAGAAAATCCTCTTGGTACACTTTTGTAGGAGCCAGGCGTGCGAGGGGATCGCCTCCTCGCTGTGTCCTCAGAAGACAGGGTTCCAGCTGGGACCAGGTAAGAGATAAGGAGTTTATTAGCGTCTAGTTGGGGAGAGTCCTTGACAGCGAGGCTGGCTTCTGAGGCTGCCTGAAGACACTCCTCGGTTTTCAGCTGTTTACTCTGCCCAGTTCTTCTGAAAACCGTGGAAAAGGGCAGCCACTGCCTCCACTGAACCATCGTCACCCCAAGGCACGCTGCTCCGGAGCCGTCCCGGGAACAGGGGACAGACATGTGCGGCGGCTGCCTGGCTGCATACTGTTACTGTGTGCGCATAGGGTCTTATCGGCGGAGAGAAAAGTCTTCGAGTTCTGAAGACCCACCCTTTCCCCCATGGAGCTTCATGCCTCTGAGCCTTTGCACATGCTGTTCCCTCTGTATGGAATGCTTTACCCCCAGCCCGCGTGTCCTCTCTTCTGTGCAGCCCTGTCCCGGCTGTCCACCCAGACGGCCAGTCCACCCCGTTGCTCTCACGCCACCATCTGACTAAGACACCTTGTTTATTTCCTGTGCTAGGCAGGGCTTTTTCAGTTGCAGGTGACAAGTGAAACTCAACTCAGATACGTGTCAGCAAAGGGTGACTTCCTGGTTTTTGTAACTGCAAAGACCGGGCTAGGCCATTTCCTCTCTAAGACACAGGCACAGCCAGAGGGAAAAGGGAGGCTCTACTTTGGCCTCATCACACTGGCCTTTGAAACTACTGTGTTCAACCCATTTTGAAGGTGAGGAGACTGAGGCTCAAAGGTATCAAGTAACTTGCCCAAGCTCCCACAGCTAGGAAATGCCTGTTCCCGCCGGCCTTGCCTTTCCTTCTCCCTGTCTTCCCTTTTGTCCACTTAACTGTGGTTTCAACCCAAAGAGGGCCTCTGCTAGGGAAGCCTTCCTTAACGATCTGGCCTCGGCCAACCCCTCATAATGCTCAGTACCGTTCCTTCCTAGCCCTTGGCACAGAGTAACTTTCCCTGGGCGATGCTCGGGTTAAAGTCTATCTCCGACACTGGACTATAACCTTGAAGAGGGAAAGGACAATATATACATACATATATATTATACACTCTTGCATTCCCGTGGATAAAACAGCATTTGGGACAGAATAGGTGCTAAATAAATATTTGCTGAATAAAAGAATAAGAAACTGAAATTCAAACCCCTGTCTTCAAAACCCAGGCTCTTTTCTGACCTCATAAGTCGGTGTTCTGCAGGACAGGAGGAGATGGGGCCATCCGGGTGAGGGATTAATAACCGTGTGACCCACTAGGAAGATGGCATGTATGTGCGCGCATGTGTAGGACAGTGGCTTGCATCCAGGCTGTCTGTGGCCGAGGAGGAGCAACAAGAGAAGGAGCACCGAGCCAGGGCAAGGTGATGAAAAGAATAAAAGACCTCACCTGACTGTCTAAGAATCCGGGGTCCCAGGGAGCTCCCAGGGCTGTCCGTCGGGGGATGACGCGCTCGTCGTTATATTTGACAAGGCTCACTCTGCCTGCCGTTGAGCGGAGGGTGGACAGAGGCTCACAGCAGAGCCCAGAGTGCCGGAACCCAGGAGAGTGTCACCATAAAACAGGGTGGGGAGGACACAGTCCTGGACAGGGACGCCAGCGATGGAGAGGAGATGGGGAGACAGGTGGCGAATGTGACTCCAGGTGTAGGCATCCGGACAGATGGTCTTGCCATCTCCCACAGCAGAGAGCAGGGCAGGGGTGTGTGTGTGAGGGGGAAGGGCTGAGCCAGCTGAGTCTGAGAAGCTGGGGCCCTTAGGTGTGGCTCCAGGTGAAGGGGCAGGTGGGTCTGAGCAGAGGGGGCCCAGCCCTTTCTAGACCTCACAGCGGGTCTCAGATGGGACGCTGCGGCAGGCCGATCCCCATTCATTTCTGTCCAGTTGCCTTCCGCCGAGCTTCACAGGCACAGACGGGGCGGGTCACAAGCGGAACTTGTCCCGGGAGGCGTGGTGAGATCCTGGAACAGTGCTCTCCCGGCCCAGCCTTTCTCCACCTTTTTCTTTCTTTCTCTCTCTCTCTTTTTAAAGAAATGTCAGGCTCTGGCCTACCCATTCAAGCCTCAGTTCCCCCTTCTGTGAAGCACTGAGGTGCTATTAATCCATCCCTCTCAGGGCGGACAAAGAGGAAGATGGTGCTAGCGCCCTGCAGAGGGGAAGCCCCCCACAGCTGGGGCCCCTTCCTCTCCTTGTCTCCGGGTTCTCAGCAACTATGCCCCAAAGCACAGAGGCTCCAGAATTGGGGGCGCTGGTAGGGAAGAGGACTCTCTCAAGGCCAGGTGAACCCCCCAATCTTAGAATGAGTGTGTGTGGAGGGGAGGCTGGGAGGCGTTCCTAGGAGAGAGCCTCCTGCACCGGGGCCCAGGTGAAGGCCGGTTTCGGGGGCCCTTGCACCACCCGCCGGGCTGGCATCATTGCCCCATTTTGAGGATGAGGAACCAAGGCCCAGGGAGGTCAAGTTTCGCGCTCAAGGTCACACAGCCAGGAATCAAGTCCAAATTGGGACTTAGGTTTGTGAGAAACCCAGAGTCGCCCCGCCCCCCCTCACCCCTCCTCACGTATCCCACAAGCGCTCTTTCCCAGCCTGCAGGCCAGTGCTCCCCCCGCCCTCCGCCCCCCCTGCCCCCATCCCTACCAATCCCTACGTACCCCACCTTCCTGTTTATTAAACATGGCCAGGGCCGAGGCACCGGCAACAGGGCTGGGCCAGGCACCTATTTGTCTTCCCGGGCGCGTCTGCCCGGCGCGCTGCGGGACTCTGGCACTGGGGTGCCTCTAGGACTTGCGGGTTCGTTCCCATACACCCTCAGACAGGGCGCCGGGAGACCCTGCCCAGGCACCGGCCGAGCGGGTGAGCAGGAGAGGGCGCCCCGGAACCCGTGGGCGGGCGCGCGGGAGAGCGAAGACGCGGAGGCAGGAGCGAGGGCCCCGGGAGCCGCGGGGACCCAGGCAGCGCCGCCACGCTCGCCTCCAGCCGGCCTCCCGCCCCCGCCCCCTCGGTGGTGACTCGCTCCGTGCGTCTCCGGCTCGGAACCAGACACAGCTCCGCGCGCCGGGGCGTTGCGCGTTGCGGGCTCCCAGGAACAGCCCCGCGGCCCGGCGACTTCCTGTCCCCAGCGCCGGCACCGAAGGGGCGCACCGCGGCCACCCACCCGGAGGCGCCCGAGGCGAGAAGAGGCCCCGCGCGCCCCGGGGTCCCAGCGCAGCGCGCGGTGAGCGTCCCCCGGGGGCTCTGGGATCCTTGGCCGCGGGTTCCCTCGCGCTACCCCCGGGCGCCCGATGGGGCCGCCCGGGGGGCACAGGGCCGACGTTTGGAGCGCACGCAGCCCGCCCCTGCCGCGGAGTCCGAGTCCCAGTCCGACATGCTGCTGCGGGGGCGCAATGGCACGGAGTACCCCGCGCGGCAGCAGCTGGCTCCCGGAGGCGCCCCGGGGGGAGCGGAGGGGGCGGCGCCGCTGGGGCCCGCGCAGGTGCTCACCGCCGGCCTCCTGACCCTGCTCATCGTCTGGACCCTGCTGGGCAACGTGCTGGTGTGCGCGGCCATCGTGCGCAGCCGCCACTTGCGCGCCAGGATGACCCACATGTTCATCGTGTCTCTGGCCGTGTCCGACCTCTTCGTGGCTTTGCTGGTCATGCCCTGGAAGGCTGTGGCGGAGGTGGCCGGCCACTGGCCCTTCGGAGCCTTCTGCGACGTGTGGGTGGCCTTCGACATCATGTGCTCTACCGCCTCCATCCTGAACCTGTGCGTCATCAGCGTGGACCGCTACTGGGCCATTTCCAGGCCCTTCAGCTACCAGCAGAGGATGACCCCGCGCGTGGCCCTGGTCATGGTGGGCCTGGCCTGGACCCTGTCCATCCTCATCTCCTTCATCCCGGTCCAGCTCCACTGGCACCGGGACGAGGCAGGCTCCCGGGGCGCGGTGGACCCGCCGCCAGCCGACCTGGCCAACGGGACGTCCTGGGGGACAGCGGGGGACCCAGAGGTGCGGGAGGAGAACTGTGACTCCAGCCTCAACCGCACTTACGCCATCGCCTCCTCGCTCATCAGCTTCTACATCCCCGTGGCCATCATGATCGTGACCTACGCGCGCATCTACCGCATCGCGCAGGCGCAGATCAGCAGGATTGCCTGCCTGGAGAGGGCGGGGCAGCGCGCGCAGAGGTGCGGGGGCCGTGAGCCCGAGCCCGGCCTGCGGGCGTCCATCCAGAAGGAGACCAAGGTGCTGAAGACCCTGTCGATGATCATGGGGGTCTTCGTGTGCTGCTGGCTGCCCTTCTTCCTCCTGAACTGCATGGCGCCCTTCTGCAGCCGCCGCCCCGAGGGCGCCCGCGCCGGCTTCCCCTGCGTCAGCGACACCACCTTCGACGTCTTCGTCTGGTTCGGCTGGGCCAACTCCTCCCTCAACCCCGTCATTTACGCCTTCAACGCGGACTTCCGGAAGGTGTTCGCCCAGCTGCTGGGGGGCGGCCGCCTCTGCTCCCGGCGCACCCGGGTGGCGACCGTGACCCTCAGCAATGAGCTCATCTCCTACGACCAGGACACCGTCTTCTCCAGGGAGACCGCAGCCACCTACAGCCACGTGGTCCCCAGCGAGGTGACCCCCCGCCACAGGGAGGGGGACAAGGAGGAGGGGGACAAGGAGGAGGAGGAGGAGGGTCCTTTGGATCTCATGTGCCAGAACTCTCAAGCGTCCCCAAGGGTGACCCTGCCGCCCAGTCTGTCTGGGAGCTGGGCTGTGAGGGGAAGACTTCATTAGGCAAAACGCCTTTCGCCTCACGTGGGTTCCATTAAACTGCGTGCAAATGCCCTTCGTGGACTACAGAGCTGCCCAGACACTGAAGCACGGGGACACACACACGTCCGGTGTTGCTCGGACCACCATCGCTCCTGTCTCTGTGTAGTAGCGTTTGTGCTTAGAAACCTTACCTGACTGGTTTGCTGTTGAAAGAATTGGCAGAAGCAATTCGGGCAAACTCGGTGTAATATACCCCAGTCTGGCAGATGCGGACCGATGGCCCTTTTAGAGGTGATGGTTGGTCCTTACAAAAAACTGAAAATGTGGGACTTGGTCTTAAACAGATATCCTCTTCCCCTTTAAACCAACGGATGGCTCAGTGACTTGGGCTCGGGCGGCTTTTTAAATAGGTTCAGCGTGTGCGGTGCTGACGGGGCGGGTGGCTCTGCCTCCCGGGGCCTGTGTTGAAGCAGCATCTGTGCTTGGTGTCCTCCGACAGCTGAGGAATGCTTCCCGACGTGTCCTGGTGTCTAATAAACACAGATTGTGTGTGCGACGGGGGATTGTCTTGCTTTGCCCGGTTGGAAATCATGAAGGCGTCCTTTCAAAGCAGGGAAGACCTCGCTGGGGCTGGAAGCACATGGTCCGTTTGTTTCCTGTACGGACAGCTTGGCCTTAAAGAGGCACGCAGGGCCAAGGGATCTTTTCGTTTGTTTGTTTGTTTCTTATTAATCCTCACCTGAGGGTATTTTTTCCATTGATTTTTAGAGAGAGTGGGAGGGTGGGAGGAGGGGGGGCGAGAGAGGGAGAGAGAGAGAAACATTGATGTAAAGGTGACACATTGATTGGTTGCCTCTGCACACTCCCTGGCTGGGGTAGGGGAACAAACCTGCAACCAGGTACGTGCCCTTGACCGGGAGTGGACCCCTCGACACTTTGGCATGCAGGCTGATGCTCCACCACTGAGCACACTGGCCAGGGCATGGGCCAGGGGATGGGCCAGGGCATCTTCAAGAGCTTCTGATGCCTCCAGGATTTTTAAAAAATATATTTTATAGATTTTTTTTACAGAGAGGAGGGAAGAGGGATAGAGAGTTAGAAACATTGATTCAGCCGCCTCCTGCACACCTCCTAATGGAGATGTGCCTGCAACCGAGGTACATGCCCTTGATGGGAATCGAACCTGGGACCCTTCAGTCCGCAGGCCGACGCTCTATCCGCTGAGCCAAACCAGTTAGGGCTCAGAATTTTTTTTATTAGACACAGACATCTGGAGTCTGTGCTGAGAGCTAGCTTCAATGCCACGGCATCAGACACCAACATTTCAAGCCTGAGATTCTTTTTTATCTGATTTGGAATCTTTTTTTTTTTTTAAAGAACGTAACACAGAACAACTCTCTGATTCCTAGATGGTTTCTATCAGTTCCGGGAGGCGATCACATGGCATAACAGCGAGATCTGTCTCAGCTTTTGATCAACCGTGTGTTCGGAGGGACGTTGACATGCTGACCTGCTTTGGAAAACAAATCCCAGTTTTAAACAGGGCTTTTTATTTGTAGACAACAAGCAATGAGGGACTGCACTTTAACTAAAATGTAGGAGCGAGAGGCGACATTTGAAGGAACTTGAAAAACCTGTGCCTTGAGGGCCTCCTCCAAATGCCCAGTGAGGCCCAGTCATTTCTCTCGCTCCCCGCCCCGCAGTCTGCACAGGAATTGGGGCGTGGTATTCCAGAACCATCCCGGTCAAGAGCAGCTCACTGCCGTTGGAGCTCAGTATGAGCGCTGTTGGCGAAAGCAAATGAAATGTGGATATGTAATTCCATGCCGTCGGCCCCCACTTTGAAGCAGTTAATCAAGACCCATTCCATCCATTTGGCTCCTCTGAGGGCTGATTTGATTGTTAGAGTCTACTGACCAGCCGTGTCTCGCTCACTGTAAAATGTGCAGTGCCCGGCACGTGATGCGTAACAGGTTATTTGTTGAATGAATAAGTGACTATTCGGGAACGGCGAAATGGAAAGCAAATCCTATTTGGAACATTCATTTTCATATATGATTTGGAACATTCATTTTCATATATGATTTGGAACATTCATTTTCATACATGATTTGGAACATTTATTTTCATATATGCTTTAGTCAAATCGATGTTGGCGTCTGAGGTCTGAGTCCCATTTCTGACCTCCTATGAACTGACAGCGAATTGGGTCACCAGGGAAGAACCCGGACGGTGACAGGTGCCTGCTCTGTGGTTTAGGAAGTGGCTGCGTGACCTTGAACGAGTGGATGACGCTCCCTGGGCCTCAGGTTCCCGCTGCATCTGTCCATTGAGCTCCGCGGTGCAGACGTGAGTGGATGGAGTCCAGGGGGAAAACAAGGCTCCGTGTGCGTTTCCTCCCTGAGGCTGCCTGGGGCGTTCCCTGTGCAGCGAGAAGCCCCTCGCGCGGGAGAGGATTCTGCATTGTTTCCCACTGTCTCTGCCCTGGGGAACCCTTGTTAAAGGGGTTCCTTATTCCCGGCTCTCCGGGGATCACAGTGTGAGAAACTCTGCTTGATCTGGAAGCCTCGAAAATGCAGCTCTTTTAGACAGGCCGTTAGAAGCCAACGCTTTTGTGGCAAACATTGTTCTAGACCCCAGTTCAAGTCATTCCTGTGTCGGGAAAAGTGATTATCTGAGGATTTTGGAAACCCCTTCTGAAAAATGCCGGGAGCCGGTCCATCCTTGCTGTTTCGGACCCCAGCAGAAAAATATCAACCATTTCGATTATTGACACCACCATGTGGCGGGCACTGTCCTAGGGATATGGTCACCCATCCAATGCTCGGTGTCCTGAGCTTCTTTTTAGGGGGAGAGAGAAGCAGATGGCCCGGACTGGGCCAAGCTGGCTGCAGTGTGTGGCCCCATGCAGACTGAAATGTCCCGCCAGGCGGCCCTGATTGATGTGATGCTCCAGGAGACAGAGCGAGAGCAGTGGCGAAGCTGTGTTATCCAGGGTGGACCAGAAGCTTCGGAAGAGGCTGATGGAGAGAGACCCAGGTGGAGAAGTAGGGGTTGGAGCAACTCTAACGCCAGGAGGAAGAGTGCGCCAGGCGGAGGGACTGGCTCCAGCCCAGGCCGGGAACGGGACGGCGCTTGGCACCTGGGAGGAGAGAAAGGCTGCCCCTGTGGCTGAGGGCCCTGCCAGGTCGGCTATAAGGCAGGCCCTGTCTTCACCAGCGCGTTCAGTTGATGCTCAGCCCCGGGGGCAGGCACTTTCATTACCTGCTCACAGATGAGGCAGTGAAGGCATGGGGAGGCGGACTCACTAGCCCGCGACCGCAGAGCTTAGGAGCAACAGAGCTGGACGTGAACCTGGCAGCCTGGCCCTGGAGTCGGCGCCGCCCGGCTGTGGTGAGAGGGGCCGCAGGGCATCCCCTGTCAGCTACCACACTAGCACCTGGACCAGAACATTCCTCATTCCCGTGTTAGGTGCTGGCTAACTGCGGCATTCCCATGGCCACCTTCCCCGAGCACCTGCATTGGGGGGCAAGCAGCAGGCGGCAGTGGGGCACAGAGCCACGTCCTGCGCCCATCTGTGGTGGAGCCTCATATTAACCCCACGTGCTAGGATTTTTCCATCTTACAGATGAGGACCCTGAGGTCCAGAGAGGGTAGTTGCTTGTCCAATGTCCTATCACTAGGAAGTGGTGGAACCAGGGTGTACACCTGGGCCAGTGGTTCTCAACTGGGGTGACTTTGTCCTCCAGGAGCCATTTTGGGTTGTCACAACTGCATGTGGGGTGCTCCGGCCATCGAGTGGGCCGTGGCCAGGGATGTTGCCAAATACTCTACTGTGCGCAGGATGTCCCCCCCCCCCCCCCCCAGGACTAGTCGGCCCTGAGAGGGCTTGACCCAGGCTGGTGGAGTCCAGGTCCCAGCTGCCTGTCCACAGAGCGCACCGCCCAGGCTTGAACACGCCACAGCCCCCAAAATTAAAACCACAGTGAGACATCACCTCAACCTGCCAGAATGGCCACCATCAATGCGTCAGCAATCAGCAAACAGCACATGCTGGTGAGGGTGTGGAGAAAGGGGAACCTCGTGCACTATTGGCGGGAAGGCAGACTGGTGCAGCCCCTGTGGAAAGCAGTGTGGAGGTTCCTCGAAAATTAACAATGGCACTGCCTTATGACCCAGCCATTCCACTTTCGGGAATTTATCTGGAGAAACCCCAAACACGAATTTGAAAGAACATACACACCCCTATCTTGATAGCCGTGTTATTCACAATAGCCAAGATGTGGAAGCAGCCCAAGTGCCCATCACAGACGAGTGGATACAAAAGTTGTGGCACGTTTACGCAAGGAAACGCTACTTGGCCATGAAACAGAAGGAAATCTTACCCTTTGCGACAGCATGGATGAGCCTGGAGAGCACTGTGCTGAGTGAAATAAGCCCGTCAGAGAAGACAAGTCCTGTATGACCTCACTCATATGTGGAATCTAGTAACAAACTGAACTAACAAGCAAAACAGAGACAGACTCATAGATAGAGAGCAGGCTGACAGCTGTCTTTGGAGAGGGGGTGCCGAGTGGGAGAGTGGAGGGATTGAGCAAAATAGAAAAAAAAAAGAAAAAGAAAAAACCTATGGACATGGGCAATAAGCGTGGTGATTGCCGGGGGGCGGGGCGTGGGGGCAGGTGGAGGAGGTTATGGGGCATAAATGGTGGCAGACGGAGACTTGACTTGGGCTGGTGAACACACAATAGGGCAGAGAGGATGTGTTGTGGAATTGTGCCCCTGAAACCTGTGTAATTCTGCTAACCAGTGTCACCCCGATAAATCCAATGAAAAGAAACAAGAAGAAACTCCGCAGCCCCAAGTTCAAATTTCAGCTCCCCCCATTGATGGTTGTTTGAAGCTGGGCACCGCTCCTAGCTTCAGTTTCTTTATCTGAGAAATGGGCTCATCAACCCCAGAGGTTTGGGGGAGGATTAAAAATGAATGTGTGAAACACTGAGGTCATGGTCGTGTTGTTC